CATGATACTTATTCATGCAGCACTATTAATCCTCTTGCACAAATATCTCATGTGCAATGGCAACCAAAAGTATGTTCGTATTGTAAAAATTCTGGACATGTACGAGCAGAATGTAGAGCCTTACAACCGCGAATTTTGAACCGAAATCCCTTATTAAATAATGTTCGAAATCCTTTGATAAATAATGCCACGCGAAATATGAATTTTAATAATAATAATCGTTTTAATCGTCTAAATTTAGCTAATCCGCGAAACGCTGGTTTAATTTGCCGATACTGCAAGATTCCTGGCCACAGTCTCGAACAATGTCGAAAGAGACAATATAATAATAATCTGCGGAATCAAGGGAATCAATATTTCAATAGAGAAAATAGAATTTCTGAAAACGTACGACGCGACAGAGCCCAAGAGAATTCGGGAAACCGAGATCGGGCTCAGCGAGTAGGCGCAGCGCTGAACGAACGCCCGCGAGTGCGCCTGGTCAACCCGGAGGAACCTCAAGAGGAAACGCAAGTGTAAAAATCTGTAATAAGATCGGGAAACCACCTTCTGTCGTCCTGCCAAGTAAAAATCTTCTCGACGAACGCGCTAGCTTTATGATAGATACGGGATCCGACATAAATTTGATAAAAGAGAATTCGCTCCATGAGAATGTGCCCATTGATAAGAAAATAGTATTCGAGCTTAGTGGAATAACTAAAGGACGAACACGCACGATAGGCGTAGCTAAATTACGCATTCTCGATGCTGATGCATGGTTTCATGTAGTTCCTAATAATTTTTCAATTAAGTCAGACGGAATACTAGGCACGGAATTCTTCAAAAATCAAAAGGCAACTATAGACTACCCGAGGGCTTGTCTGGTTGTGAACGGAGTATCGTACTATTTCCATAACGACGAAATCGTCACTATTCCCGCTAGAACGCGAAAACAAATATTTGTTCGTATAGCAAATCCTGAAATAAAATACGGATATATTCCAAAATTAGATGCCGGATTGCAGGTGTACTTAGGTAACGCCGTAGTCTCGAATCGTGATGGGATAGCACATCTATATGTTATTAACTCATCGGACGAAGACGTAGAATTAGCAATACCGACTGTAAAAATATATCCATTCAAAGAGCTAAATAACGAAGAAATGGACGCAAATGACGCAGAAGAAGACTCAAAGGACAATAAAACACGAGTTGATCAAATAATACAGCTACTACGTCTCGATCATTTAAATGCGGAAGAAAAAACTAGTGTCACTAGGCTAGTAACAAATTATGCGGAACGATTTCATTTGCCAGGAGAATCGCTAGGCGCAACTAGCGTATCAAAGCACCGAATATTCACCACTGACGATAGACCAATCAACGTCAAGCAATATCGATATCCTCAAGTACATAAAGAAGAAATACAACGACAGGTTGACGAAATGTTGGAAAAAGGTGTGATAGAGCCGTCGAGCTCGCCTTATAATTCTCCTTTGTGGATTGTACCAAAAAAGGATGATTCTAAAGGCAATAAAAAATGGCGTCTCGTAATAGATTTTCGAGCGCTTAATGAGAAAACGATCGGTGATGCATATCCACTACCAAATATTGTCGATATACTCGATCAACTTGGTAGTGCGAAATATTTTTCAGTATTTGATCTAGCTTCTGGATTTCACCAGATATTAATGGACAAGACTGACAAGCATAAGACTGCGTTTTCAACACCGTACGGACATTTTGAATATAACCGTATGCCGTTTGGACTAAAGAACGCTCCTGCTACTTTTCAGAGATTAATGGATCAGGTATTAACAGGCTTACAAGGAATTGAATTGTTTGTATATCTCGATGATATCGTAATATACGCTAAATCACTTCAGGAACATGAGATTAAATTCCAACGATTAATGAAACGACTAGAAGAAGCAAATTTATCCTTACAACCTGATAAATGTGAATTTTTAAAGAAAGAAGTTGCTTATCTTGGACATGTAATAACTGAAAATGGTGTACGACCCGATCCCAAGAAGATAAACGCTGTAAAAGAATTTCCAATGCCAAAAACACGAAAGAATATTAAGCAATTTCTCGGTCTTGCAGGATATTACCGAAGATTCATAAAAAATTTTTCTAAAATCGCTAAACCTCTTTCGGATTTAACGAAACAATCTATTGCATTTGAATGGAAACAAGAACAACAAGAAGCATTTGATAAATTGAGACACGCTTTGTGCTCAGAACCAATTTTGCAATATCCTAATTTTAATGAACCATTTATTATAACTACTGACGCATCAGGATACGCCATTGGTGCAATATTAAGTCAAGGCAAAATAGGAAGCGATCTACCCATAGCTTACGCATCAAGAGTTTTAAATGATGCAGAAACAAGATATTCGCCTACAGAGAGAGAATTATTAGCTTTAATTTATGCTGTAAAACATTTTCGACCTTATGTTTATGGACGTAAATTTACATTAGTAATGGATCATAAACCATTAGAATGGTTAAATTCAGTATCTGATCCTACGTCACGATTAATGAGGTGGAGACTAAAATTAGCGGAATACGATTATCAAATAAAATACAAACCAGGAAAAATAAATAAAAATGCTGACGCTTTGTCCAGGAATCCTATCGAAGAAATTAAACATGTATATCCTTTGAATGCAAAACGAGCATTATCATCTTCAAGTGAAGCCTCAGTAGGGCAAGAATATAAAAAACAGAAAACATTTCACCCGAGTTTTAAAAGAGCAATGGAAAGTGAAGGATCAGGAAATCCAGCACCGCATAAAAAGAACAGACCTGATGAACCATCTCCTTATATAGATTCAGATTCAGATAGTGAAGAAGAAATATCACCTAGAAGTAAATTTTTAAAGGCTTTAGACAGTAGCAGTGACAGTGGAACAGTTTCATATTATTATGAAACCGACTATGATACCGACGATCCAGAAATATGTCAAAAAGGTGAAAAAAGGAAACATGAGAGTAGCTCTTCTACTCACATAAGACGCAGAAAGCGAAAGCATAAGAGAACAAAGAAACACCGTAAAGATTCCAGTCCAAAGAAACTTGACGAATCCCATGATGACACTAAAGACGCAATGTTGCATGTGGATGAAGCTGAAGGGCGCGGCCCGCAAGAGCGTCTTAGCGATGACGACGCCGCCTATGAGCCGCTGCAGGAAGCAACCGCTCCCGACGACGCACGCGCTTCACGCAAGAGACCGAGCGGAAGCCACACAACGGGTGTCCCGAAAAAACGAATCGATGATAAAAAATTTTATAATGAAAAAGAAATGCATAAACAACAAGAGGAATCTGAAGATGAGGCTATGGAAATAACATCACAATCTAGCGACAGCCATCAAAACCGCACTAATATTGAAGTACAGGCTGACGTTCATGCACCACCTTCGCATATACAAATAATACCAAAATCAAAAGTAAAAATTGATAAAAAATTACAAAAATTGCCAGATGACATTGACGCTATTGAAATAATAGAAAAGAATATACCATTAAATAAACAAGAATTAAAAACAATGGAAGTTGATACTGATAATGAAATGGATTATGAAATAAATAAAAAACCATTAGGATACCGTGAACAGAAAACACCGAGCGATGATTCGACAGACGAAAGTAATACGAACAGAATATTTTCACCTCCTTCGTATAAAGCAGTTCCTAAACCTTTACAAATAAGTAATAAAAATCCTGTGAAAACAAAAGCTACAACTTCTAATAAAAGACCAGTAAATAAAAAATTCCCAAACAAAAAATTAAGTAAGAAAACAAATAAAAAATCTAACTTAAAGGAACGAACACCACCGAGAGAATTACAGAGACCAAGAATAAGAGAAATGGAAGTTACTTCTGTTAACATTATAGACTCTCGAGATCACATATGGATGAGAAATGATAATATAATATACTTTATAAATACAAAGGGAGATCCGATAGATGAAATAGGGAAAGAATTAATTGATAGAAAAATATGCCAGAAGCCGAAGAATTTTAAAGGAATAATAGGACATGTGTTAATATCAGAAAAGAATAACAAGAAAATTTTTGGAATAATAATTAAAGAAGAATTAAATGATCAAATTCAAGAAAAACATGTAGCGCAGGGATTTAGAGAATTAAAAAACGAAATGATGCGTTTAAATATTTCACATGCGAGCATATCTGAAAACAATAGCGATATAAAAATACCATGGTTCAGAATACGATGCATTATAAGACTTACATTTTTAAATACAGACATTCAAATTACTGTATGTAAGGGCCAAGTGTGCATACCCGAGCTCAAGGATAGACCTCGTATCATACGTGAGTCCCACGAATCCAGTGTCGGAGGACATAAAGGAATCGCAAAAACAGTGGCGCGGATACGTCATAAATATTTTTGGGAAAATATGAAAAGTCAAGTTGAAAAATTTATTCAAACCTGTAGTAGTTGCCAAAAGAAAAAATTAGTACGCGTAAAGACTAAACAACCGATGATTATAACCGACACTCCTGTAGACGCATTTGATAAAGTTGCTATGGATATATTAGGGCCTTTGCCTATTACTGATAATGGTAATGAATATATTTTAACGATTCAGGATCAATTAACAAAATATTCAGTTGCCGTACCTCTTGTGCAAGCGAACTCAGAGGAAATAGCAAAAGCATTCACGCGTAGATTTATTTGTCAATTTGGAAGCCCCAAGGCAATTTTGACGGATCAAGGTTCAAATTTTACTAGTTCAATGATGAAGAAATTTGCAAAATATTTTAAAATAAAACAATATTGCACAACTGCTTTCCATCCTCAATCCAATGGCTCATTAGAAAGAAGCCATCATGTATTGACCGAATATTTAAAGCATTACATAACTGATGAACATGATTGGGATAATTGGCTCGAGCATGCTATGTTTTCATATAATACTAGCGTACATGAGGGAACAAAATTTACACCGTATGAATTAGTATTCGGCAAAGCCGCACGATTGCCATCTGAAATAAAGACAGAAAATCCGGTAGAAACGTATGACGATTATGTAAGCGAACTTATTGATAAATTAACTGATCTAAGAAAACTAGCTGTGTCAAATTTAGGGCTAGCCAAAACACGTTATAAACACTATTATGATAAGAAATTAAAAACACAAACGTATAAAGTAGGAAATTTTATATATTTATTAAAACCTAAAAAGAAAAACAAGTTCGATGACGAATATACAGGGCCGTATGAAATTGTGGAAATCCTAGAAAATAATAATATTAAAATATTAATTCCACCAAATAAAATTAAAATCGTACATGTAGACCGAACTAAACCTGCTCGGATTGCAGATCAGGGATGAAGGAAAAAGAATACACAGTTACTGGTTTAAAAGATAATCCTGGAATATTTTTCGAAGCCGTTGGAGAAATGCGTACGTCCGAAAATTCTTGGAAGATGATAATCTACATCGACTTGCGCGATATTAAAGGTGCAACGGCCAAACTCGAACAGCAAATGGACTCAATATTACAACAATGTGGTGATCACAATTCACATTGTGAAATACGACCACGATTGACTTCATTAATTGCCAAATTGAATAAGATAAAGCAGTATCAAGATCATATACGCGCACTCATAGGAGAATCCCGCACAAAACGAGCTCCCTTGGAATTTGTTGGACAACTTAGCAAGATATTATTCGGAACTTTAACCATCGAAGACGAATATGCCATGCGTAATGCAATAATGCATGTAGAGAATAAAACTAACGATCTCGCTCTGCTACTCGTGAATCAAACTGTAGCAACGCGAGCGCGTTTCGGGGAACTGTACAACGCCACATGGGAAATAAGAAAGCAGCTTAGCGCAATAGAAATTAAAGCGATGTTAAATCAAAGGCATCGATATTTTTGGGAAGTTATGACAAAACTGGATACGGAAATATTACAACATGAAATAGATTTAAATATTCTGATCGATGGAATATTATTCGGAAAGCAGGGATTCATCCACCCCCGTTTAATTTCACCGCAACAATTAATAGAAAATTGTAAGTTAATAAAAGAACAGAATCCTCATGCAGAATTTCCGGTAAGTACTGACGAAATCGGAATGGATCAACTTATAAAAATATCCAACTTACGAATTGCCTATTCCGGAAATCGATTGATTTATATTCTGCATATTCCATTATTGATTCCTGGAATATATAAAATGTATAGAGGCGTACCATTACCTGCTAAACAAGCATTTGATGAAACAAAATTCGCCATAATTAAATCTGACGCAGAACATATTGGAATAAGCGAGGACACCGATAGCTTCTACGAGTTCCGAGAAGGGGAACTGCGAGAATGTATATCGTCCAGCACCGTGTTTATCTGCCCAGCTATATTTCCTTTGAAAAAGATACGGCAAGCGACAAGTTGTAATATTCAACTCTTACTAAATAAGAATATAGAAATGGAATATTGCAACATAGTATTACAAAACCTACGAGAAACATACTGGAAAGCCTTAACTACGCCCGGAAATTGGATATATACTGCAAGAAAACGAGAAATAATTCGTATAGAATGCCAACAAAGCAACCAGGAAGAAATAAGTAATTCTGGCATTATTTCCATACGCCAAGGATGTAAAATTAAAGCAGGGACTACTACGATGAGCCATCCATCCGTTCATTCTATAGAATTCGTACAGCATTATACTCCAATGAACAACCTAAGCATTTTACAATTGTACGAGCCTATCCGCGAAAAATATCAAATCGACCTGGCAGAAGCGACAAGCGAATTATGGACGATGAATAATAGCCACGTATCAACGACTTTTGATGACATCATTGAAAAGGCTCGCCAGATCAAGGATAGACGGATGCAAGAACAAAGACTTATCACCTACAGTGCAGTAGGATGGGGCATGAGTGTTCTCGGAATACTTGTGGTCATCGTCTGGATGATAAGCAGGACTTCTTGGATCAGCAGTACTGCGAATTTACTTTATGCACGATGCAACCGTAACAAAGGAACCAAGGGACCTACCCCTTGCTCCTCGGTAGAGAATAAAAGCCGAAGCACCGAGCCCGAATCCGAACAGTCTGACTTAAGAACGGCAACGATCCAGTATAGTCTACAAGAAGAAGCACAGGAAGCAGAGACACACTGACGACTTGAAGACGTACAGCAATAATTCGTAAGTGACCAAACCACATGACTTTGTACCAAAATTTAGTCTTTGGTTTGTGCTCACTTCCCAGGATGAGAAGGAGCAGCTATTCCACCAATCATTATAAACGTTGGCACAGGATATTGGGACGACTCCGCCGGATTATTCTAACCATGCCGGGAATTGACGAAGATGTACCTATGGACCTCAGCGCAGCGCAGTCGTATCGGCGGTCGCCAATTCCAATGCAGCGAGGACCACCGGAGCGCGACACCAGATCTCCTGGCGTCGACGTCCATCCCAATATGGACCGTGACTGGCCCGGACCAACAGATCCTGAGGTCTTCGCCAGACCTCAGCGTCCGCCAACACCGGCGAACACCATCTACGAGGTGCCGCGAATGACAGTGGCATCAGTGGAAGCAGCTCTCACCCCTGG